TTTCCAAGGGCAGGAACCACGGCAGTGTCATTAATCCAAGGTCCCAAGAGTCTGACCAATGCTTTGTGGTACATATTTGTTTAAATGTAGTCAACCCAGCCGGGCGTTGGTGGCGCACACCTTTAACCCCAGCACTCGGGAGGCAGAGGCAGGTGGATCTCTGTGAGTTCGAGGCCAGCCTGGTCTACAGAGCGAGTTCCAGGACAGCTTCCAAAACAATACAGAGAAACCCTGTCTCGAAAAAACCAAAAAAAAAAAAAAATAGGTCAGCGCAGAGCTGGAAAATGGTAGCAGGCCAGTCTAAACCAAAGATCTTTAAGATATCCAGCATATAAGAAGAGGGAAGGAATCTGCACAGTTTCAGCGGACTGGACCCAGGGTGCTAATAAGTCACAATTAGGCTAAAATTTATTCAGGCTTGACTACAAGGACTTTAAAGTAGCTAGAAAAGAAGATAATTGTTCTATCAAGACCTAATCTAAATACCCCCACCACTCACATTTAGCCTCGGAGAGGATGGAAGGGCCTTGGAAAGAGGAGAGCTTGAGAAATTTTCTTATTCAGGCAAAGCTATGTTCCCCCATCCCTGCATGTTGAGGGGGAAGAATGTATTTCACACACCAATCAGGAGTTCAGTGCTGGCATGGACACTATGCACCAAAGTTGATGGAGGAGGAGCCTGTTTGAGAAGAAGGGGCTGGTAATAGTTTGAAATATTTACATAGCTGGGAGACAGATTGGAAGCACCATATCCATAGTAAAAGCAGAGAAAGAATAAGCATATGGATGCTTGCTTGCCTGTGCTCAGCTCGCTTTCTCCCCTCTTACGCTGTTCAGGACACCACACCCAGGAAATGGTGAAACCCACAACTGGCTGGGGCTTCCCACATCAGTTAATTGCTAAGCAGTCCCTCAGAGACACGTCCACACACCAAACTGATCTATACAATTCTTCATTAAGACTCCTGTCCTAGGTGATTCTAGATTGTGTCAAGTTAATAGTTAAAAACCAACTGCCTAGCATCAGAATATATATGTTTGGGAGAGAAATCTGCATACTTACTCAATGTGTGCACATTTCCTTTCTTGCCATTATTCTGTGAGAAAGGCAGTATGACAGCTATGTTATAGCGTTTACAATGCATTGGGTATTATACTTGTTTAAATCATATGCAAAGATCTATGTGCATTCTATACAAACATACTATTTTACATAAGTCACTTAAATAAGCCCATATTATGGTATCCATAATGGGTTCTGGAAACCCAAACCTCATGATACTTACCCATCAGTTCACCTTTTCTTCTACGGAAATAGATAAACAGGACAAAGGACTTCCCCCTAGAAATACTGCCCTTTACCACTGCCTGTGAAGATAGCCTTGAGGCTGGATCTAGGATAATCTAGCAACATGCTAGGTGTTTTGAGTGATCTATGACTCCAAAAGTGTGCACCAAAGCCCATCCATCTCCACTGCTTATGAAAGCAGTTGTATGTGGAAACACCACTTTTGCCAATGTAACCATTAGGATGAAATTGAAGTGTGCTCTTTTAGCGTGACAGAAGTCTTTAAAGGAAGGGCAGGTTAGTGCAGAGTCAGACATGCACATAAGAAAGACAACATAGAAATGTGGGGGAATGGATGACCATGGGACAATGGGGGCTGGGATGTGTTTACTAGAGGAGGAATGTCATGGATGACCGTAAACAAGACTGAAGAGCTAAGAGTTCTTATCCCTCAGCACATCATGAAGAAGAATGTAGCTCCGATGAGCCCATGACTTTACACTTCTAACCACCAGAGGTGTGAAAGAATATGAAGGCATGATTAAGGTGGTGTTATCTTCAGAGGCCCCAGGAGAGAAAGGTAATGAGATCATGGGTATGACCCAGAACCAAGCACTACTCTCCTTTCAGCACTAGGTATGGGCAGCCCCTCAGCTTTGAGTTGAGGAAACACTTGAAGTGTCTCCCTCCTACTTATTGTGCTCATCTGATCCAGAATGTACACTCAAAGAGACAAGTGTTAGCTGTCAATCCTCATTTATTCTAGCTCACAGGGATCAATAACACACAGCTCTTATGGTGAGCTTCAGTTACCAGACTAGTGTCTCATGTACCAAGGTTAATCTGATGTCAGAGTAAGAAAGGGAAAGCTGTTCTTCAAATGGAGAGCAGTTTAGGAGGGCAGATCTTTCCCATGGGGCTGTGCTCTAGCTCCTATTAGAGACTAAGGCTCTACCACCCTCCTTCTGTACACATTAAGACCTGTGTGATGACTGTGTGGATCCTGGCTGCTCCAGAGTCTGAGCCCTCGCTGGAATGGGATCTTCTGGCACCATGACCTCCAGACCGTGAAGGATTGGATATATCAATTGGTTAAGCCCCTGAGTCTATTTTATTTGGGTAGACTGGCCTCAGATACAACCCATCACAAGCTCTGAAAGGAAAGATGACACCAATACAGTAGTCAGCAAGAAACTCTACAGGAGCTCAAGATAATCAGGTACTCTGGGATGGGGGTGACAATGACAGTGATAGGGTTCTGGGACAGAAGACATGGAACAGCACCCATCCATTACAGTGACATCCTACCACGTTGGGCTGTAAGGACTGAAATAGTAACCATGATGTCTGGGTCCATGAGGATCTATACGATTGTTAGAACTTCAGGGTCTTTATTACCCACCAAGTGTTTCTCCACTTGTGTTTCAGAAGGACAACCACACCTACCAAGCAGAGGATTGACCCAGTGATCTCTAGCCTGCTTTATCAGTTCTTGACAACTCACTGGCACAGGACTCTTTGAAGGAGAAATCAGTCTCCCCGAGAGAAACCCCTGCGGTATTCTTTCAAGATGCTTTCTCCTACTCTACTGCTTTCCTAGTTCCTTGCCAGGAACTGCACTGGGATAGGAGACAGTGAGATTTTTGATGACTATTAGATATGGAGGCTGAGCTTTTCCTGAGTCAAGAGACACAAGTATCATAGCCATCATCTACAGTCTGCATCTGCAGTGGCCATCCATGACCAGCCCAGACATCTTTGAAGAGATGATGTCACCCAGGCCCCCTCGGGAAATATGGCAGCAATGGGTTCTCAGGTTCACATCCTAAACAGTCCCTGGCTTCTATGCCCCCTCCCTGAGATTTCTGACTTTCTCTTCAATCCACCATCGTATAATTCTGTCATCTTTTTCCTTCCTTAGGCCATTCTGATTCAGGCTTCAGCAACCCGTAACAGAGAACCCATAGGAGCAACTTCTCTCTTCTCAATAAATGTAGAAAATCCTTCCTCAAAGTCCATGTATCCCAAAGTCACCTACATATTCTGCCACCTATAACTCACACCACAAGACCCAATCCCAACAGTGTCATCCACTGAAAACCTACCAGAGTCCCCAGCACCTATGTCACTAGGCCTGTTTTCTTCTCTTTGATGTGGGGGGGGGGGACAAGAGGTTGAGGTAGGCAGACAACACAATGTGATGTTCCTCTTAAGTGACATCATTGAATGTTTTCAAGAAAGGCAGAACTCTTTCCTTTGGCAACTTGAAGAGTCTGCTTCCATGGACGGGAGGATTCAGGGGAATTAGATGCGCACAGTTCCCAGGCCCGTCCTTCATGTAGCACTAGTCAGCTCCAGGAGTTTGCTGAAAGACTTGACTTTGATATAAGGACCTTTGAATTCTGTGTGTTAAGGCTTTCCCCAGGTATCTTACACCTTCCATCAGATGCTGAGCTTGATGTTCAGTACAACACATCCTCAGGCTTAAGGATACAATCTTCCTCAAAGGCGATGTGAGGGCTCTCTGAGCTTTTCTTTTTTTGCTACTTTCTGTCCAAAATTCTTTAAATCCATCAGATAAAAAAACCCACTCTCAAGATCCTATGATCATTGTTGCTTGATTATTTCACAATGCACTACAAGGACTCATTCTTTCTAACACTTCTCACCTCGGGATTATATATACTGATGACATGACCACTGCATGGCATGGTTGAAGGGGAAGCTTTTATTGTATGCATGAGGGAGAGAACAACTGGAGGCACCTGAGAGAGTCTGAAACAGAGAGGAAAAGTATACTGAATGAGGCCAGCAGACTGGATATGGCCAGGCTGTCTGCAAGACAGCACAGAAGAGCGGGGGATAAAGAGTAGAGAAAATATAGTAAGAGAAGCAGGAACAGAGAATAGAGAGGACACAAAACAGCAGGGTTATAAGAATGAGGAAGGAAGCCTGTGATCTAGAGGAAGTTTAGGGTAGGGAGGAAAGAAGGGCTAGGATGCTAGCATGCACTTTAAAATATGTAACAGGAACTTGTGACACTGAGGGAGCCTGGATGGCCTATCTAACCTCCAGAAAGCCTCCTGTAGTCTAGATTGACTCTGTTTCTGGATATTTGGAGACTGTCTTTTGGAGTTGTGGGGGTTTAGAGAGTCCTTTGGACCTGACAAGTACATGAAAGAGGAATTCAGTAAATGGGTGCTTCCCTGCATAACCACTGACTGTAAATATTGCTGTTAGACAATGAACAATAGAAACCCTACTCCTTCTTTCAGCAGCTTCCTTTCTAGAACAGTTTAGGTTCCTTGGAAGAGAAATGTGAGACAAAGCTTAATGGTCAGCACTGTATTAGGAGACATACTCTCAGGATTAAAAGTGAAAAACAGAAATGGCAAGAGGGAGAGCACTATGATTCATGACAAACTACCCAGAACTTTCCAAGAAATACTGCCGGTGTGAGAGCATATGTGATATTTTCAGATAAATTCCTTAGAAGTCCCATGCTTAGGGCAGTCCACAGGAGAGAAGAAAGCACAGTTACTAGTTTCTCTTACTTGTTCATGTAACTGATTAACTTTTCTTTTCTTAATGGAAATCTGTCCTTCCCACATTCACTGTGTCTCCCAAGTCACTTAGCATGGGACAAAGCAGAGCTCTCAATATATCAGGTCACTTACCAGGTACCTGAAGTGGGACAACACAGAGAACTCACCCTTCAACTTGTAGATGTGTCCACAAGTGCCCAGGGCATTCAGCCTCACTGGTGGATGCAGGGTGGAGCAGGTGTCCAATGGACCACAGGAGGCATGAGGCGATCACAGTCTAAGCTGATGTTCAGTGTCCTTCCACAACTGTAGAATGGGAGAGGGTTTTAAATGAGCTACGAGTACCTGGCTTCCTCAGCTATTGCCATGTGATGAAAGCATGCTTCTCTCTGTCTCTAAGGATCCTCGGGAAGATGTAAGCCATGAAACCACTACACTTTAGAATGAGACTATTTTCACTCTCAAGCAATGTGAGGCACAGAGCAAAGAACAGTCATAGAGGGAAGACATTACTGACACCAGAGTCTGGTACTCCAGAAAGACTGGGAACATATGGCGCCTTTTGGATGCTGAGCTGCTACAGGACTCTACAGAGTCAAGGGATTCTGAAGCTAGATGCAATCAGCAATGGCTCAACCGTAAAGGGTACGTGGCATCACCTAAATACACATCCCAGGTGATACTACGATATCTGTTTGCTTGCGTCACAGAACAGAGGTTTTGTAAGTCCAGCCCATGCCATGGCCCCATGGCTACCTGAGAAACTATTGTCACCTGAGTCCCAATTATACTAAATATGTCTTGAGGGAATTGAATACTGTAATATTCAAGCCTTCCATTTCTGTCTGAGGCTCCAGTTCTGATTCTTTGAGGATGTTGGCAATCACGTTTAAGTAAAGATTAAAGAAAAATGAAAAATAATTTGAGCCAATTATCTCTCTGGGCCCAATCATACCTCTCAGATCTCATTAAGTGTCCTATCATGCTGGCTAGTAATATAACTCTACCCACTGCCCGCTGCTCTGCTGGATTTGAGTTAACTGGTCTTGTTCAAAGAATGGATCGTTACTTTATCTGTTTCATTAGTATAAATTACACAGTGTTGTAATTTATACTCTGGAAGCTGCTGCAGGTATTATGAGAAGAAATTTGATCAAAGTTGACGCTAAGGGAAGGAAAATATAGTATACTTGACACTATTTCCTCCATAGCAGTGGCTAAAAGAATCGATGTCTTTAATGAACTTCATGAATATGCTGACTTCATTTCTGAAAGAAGCCAGTACAAAAGGTTTTGAGAGTTGTGATGTAGGTCAATGTGCTTTGAAATAGGAAATTCATCCTTGTTCAAGCCCACTAACTACATATTGATGGCTTTCATTTGTTTTAGCACCAGACACTACCTTCTAATGGATGTGAAGGCACTTTCTTTCCCCAACTTTATATTTCTCTGAATATTTGGCCCAGATATTGCAATGCCTGAAAGGTTCAAGTGCATCCCCCATTCTTTAATTACTTTTCCTCGCTTTATGGCCCACTCTTAAATAGGCTGAATTGGGTGACCAAAGTTTAACTACCTTGCTTATAAGGCTTTACCCTTGGTGGCTCATGCATAATTGCTGCCAGACTTGTAGTGATCTTTTTTCTCAAATTTGGGGCAAAAGGTTCAAACTTTTAGTTAACCTTCATAATCATATATTTAATATATATTTTTCATGGATGGATGGAGATGACTTTGTGTTTATTTTCCCATGTGGAGACCAGTGTGGCTAACTTTTATGTTTTAGACAGAAATACCAGGGTGATGAACTCATCCAAACTAAGTTCACTGTGGATGGAGGAGAGTCTCATGTGGTCCCACCTCTCTCTGCGGCACCTCTGGCAGCCAATGATTTCTGGGAGAATTGCTATCTCTTTTCTCCAATGGTGTAGCCATCAGAAAGTTGCCCACTCTTTAATAAATAGTAACCCCCATAACTGCTTATGAAAACGATGATGGTAAAACTCAGTGGGCTATAAAAATATGCATGGAAGTAGGAGAGGTGTCGTTGGGAAGAAGAAAGGTCTTAGTAGTGAGGAAGGGTGACACCGGCAGGGCCCACTCCCCTATATCTTCTGGTGTCAGGATTCCTACTATCCTGAGGAGACTTCTGAAATACTGTTACGTGCCTCAAGTGCCATGGACACACAATATAATGACTGATAAGAAAGCATATCAAAAGGCTCAGTGTAAAGGGAAAAGAGAGTGAAAATAAAAATAAAATGGCACATTTGTGTGTCTAGACATGAACACCTCCATTAAGTAGTCCTTTGTACATATGTACCTGCGTGCACACTGATGAGCTTAAAAACTGAGGGTCACACTATATGTAAGGACCCACTTCTATGATACCCAAAGTGTTCACTTTATAAAAACACATTATTAATTTTAAGGTGATAACATGTAAACAATAAACTTAAGAAGTCTGGAGACACTTAAAGTAACATTAGCAAAAGGACCTGTCACACATAAACAGGCCATTTGATAATAATAAACTGAGTGCCTTGTCACCACAAACGAGTATGCCCTTAAGAGACCTTCAGAATACATAGAACATGAATAGACAGAAAGAAAATTACACATACATGCACAAGAGTCCATGGAGGGTGACAGGCATGATCTAGAAATGAACTGTGCTCATGATTGTATGACTTGGTACATTTATTACAAAATACTCAATTCTAAGAAGAAGAAAGAAAGGTACAAGTTTGACCGTATTAAGTGTCACAAGCTGTTAATCACAGCTATACTGGAGACTAAAGAAGGAGGATTAAAGTTCAAGGCCAGCCAGGGCTACAGACTAAGATCACGGCTAGCCCCAGCAATTTAGAAGACAATTCTTTCAAAGTAAAAAAATGAATAGAATAGTTCAGGATATAGTGGTGACATTCACAGTGCCTTAGGTTCAATTCCCAGTATAAACACACACACACACACACACACACACACACACACACACACACACACACATTTCAAAATTATTCAGATTTTAACATTCTCCCAACAACTTTTTGGAAATCTAGATAAATTAGCAACGGTCATAAAGGACTGGAAAACCACAGTAACTGGAGCACAGCGCCCATCAACTACAGAGTCAACTACATGTGCACCCAAATGATAGAACTCTGGAGATAGGCCATAACATGGTTACCAGTAAACTTTAACAACTAAAATTAACTATGGTATGTTTGCAGGACATATTCCATAAGTGAATCAAAATAGTAGCTTTAAAATTACATTTAACATATTGTGTCTACTGATGAATGTGATTGATTATACTGTAAAGGAATAAAAGTACACTTACACACATTTGTAAAATAAAGAGGGATTTCCCAGTATGTTTCATGACAATACCAATATGTAGACAGCAGAAGAATATAGATGTTAGATAAGGAAAATACATCTCACAGGAATCTGTTGCATGTGTAGAACGAAAATTCTGCCATTGACTGTATGTCAATATAACATAGCAGTATATAAATAATATCTTCTATGTCTGAGGTTGGCCATTTAAAGACCAGTCATGCATGGAGGCCCAGAGCTGACTCAGTTGTTGGGAACACTGGCTGCTCTTTCAGAGAACATGGGTTCAGTTTCCAAACCTGACAGGGTGACTTTTAACCACCTATAACTCCAGTTCCAGGGAAATAGATGTCCTCTCCTCACTTTTGTGGGTATAAGCAAAACACTCATACATATAAAATATAAATAGATAAATAGTACTGTAAAAGATCAGTCTTGTTCTGGGCATTAGTGGTGCACACCTTTAATCCTAGCACTTGGGAGGCAGAGGCAGGTGGATCTCTGTGAGTTTGAGGCCAGCCTGGTCTATAGAGAGAGTTCCAAGACTGCCTACAAAACAATACGGAGAAACCCTGTCTCTAAAAACAAACAAACAAACAAAAAGATCAGTGTTGTGACATAAAGACTGAGTCAAGTCAAATGGAAAGGGGCTTACTGTAGGTATTTGTCTTCCACAGTTAACTAAGAAAGTATACAAAACGAAAAAGCCTACAGGGCTTGAAAATGATAGCGGTCTACAAGGAAGGAAAACAAACCAGGAGTACCATTCATTCACACCATTGTACATTCGGGAGGCATTTTCAGGTTTCAAGGCAGAGGGCAACAGAGTTAGATAATCTCCAGGAGTTTGGAAGACATATGTTAGGATTTGGAATGGAAGTATGGCTAACATTGTAGTCTAAAAGGAGTAGCAAGTTGACAGAGCCAACTTCGGATCTGTGCGTATAAGTCCCTTGAGTCTGATCACTCACATATACATGAAAGAAAAATGCCCAACCGTGAGCAAGAATAGTAAGAAGAATGAAGCTGAACAATTCCCAGGGCTCACATATGACGCCAACTACTAAGGAAGAGTTTTGTCACACTCAGTGGAGCCATCAGAACACACTGACTAAAGCTCTTCAACTTCATTGAACAGGAAAACTCCCCCTAGGCTGAGGCTTCTGTGGACCTTCTCCAAGCTGACAGGCAGACACATCTTGAGAGGACGCTAAGTCAATTAAACACAGGTCAGAGCCAACTCTGACAGCATATTAATGAAACACAGCCAATGAACAAACAGCATAAAATTCTCTTTCTGCCATCCAATCAAAATTTATGAGGCTTGCAAAGATGTGGGGCAATATAACTCATTGACAGTTATAAGTCAATGTATAGAAAGAGACCTATAAATGACAGGGAGGAGAGACCCCAAAGAACACAAAAAAACACTAATTACACAAGCTCCATATGCTCAAGAATGATGAAATGAATATGAATACCCTGCGAAGACAAGGTTTCGAACAGAACAGGACCTGGAGATAAGTACAGCATCAGAAGAGAATGCATGCTGGCTGTAACGAACAGAAAACAAGGCCCTAAGCAATGACCAGTAAACTGGAAGACATGGTTCCAAGATAACTTCAAAATAAGACACAGAAATACACAAAGTTAAAAATAATGAATAAATCATCAGCTACTTCTGCATTCACAGCACATCCTCTACCATACATACAAAGGAGAGAGGAATAGAGATCCAATAACCAATACCAACATATTTTCAAGATTTGAGAAAATGTTTTAAATTCCATAAGCCTGAGGAGGTAGTTCAGTTGAAAGAGTACTGGCCTAGACAGCCCAAAGCTGTGGGTTTGATACCCAAAACTAGATAAAACTGAATGTAATAGTGCACCCCTGGATTCCTAGCACTAAGCAGGTGGGAGCAGTGGGTTCAGAAGCTCAAGGTCATCCTTGACCACCTACTA